ATTTGCTAGCACTCACCCCAGGGGAAGGGTTCTGTACTGACTGCATATACCCTTTGCATATGCTGGCGGACAGGCCGCACCAAAGTAGGCCGCCCAGTACCCCCAAGAACGCCCAGTGCCCTGCCCTGCATGGGACCTTAGGCCAAAAAGCAAGGGCAGGAGTGGCCCAGCAGGCGGATAGGGCAGGCGTGACGGTACAGAAGGTCCCACATGTCTGACAACTCATCAAGTCATCATCAGCAAATGGGTCCAGGAGGCAAGTCTGGACAACACCCTTCTTCTCAGGATTGTGCTTTTAAATCCATTAGCCTGTGAACACCGCTTGACCTGGATACGACATTGTCCGCTGGGGAATCCCCTCACATTTTAGCCTCGCTTTGAACTTACCAAATTAAAGATAAAGAATTCATACAAACATATAAATATTAAGAATGCCATGTGAGCTGAGAAAGCACACAGACGTTTAGACTGGGGAAGACCTCGATATTATAGCTGCTTGGCAGACAAATGAAATACTTATTAGGAACAGAATCAAATTATAAAGAAAGGGATATACCATTATCTCAGAGCTAGACAGGCCATGGCAAGTCTCAATAAGTGTAAAGTCAAGAATTTTCACTGAAAGATTGGGGGTTGGGGGGGGAGAAGAGAGAGAAACCAGAAAATACAGAAAAGAGCTAAATGGGCAGGATGCGGGTGGAGAGGAGAAGCGCCCTTGCAGCGCAGGTCATGCCACAGTTCAGTGGCTGATTCTGGTGAGATTGTAGTCTGGAATGCGCTGTGCTGGGTGGGTAAAATTCATCCCCAACTCATTCTGGGTCAGTTGTTCATGAAATGGTGGCACAGTATACCCACCCAACAGTATACAGGCACCACCTGACACAAACACAGCTGTGCCCGTGCACAACACACTGAATCAGATTGTATTGAATCAATGCACACACAAAAAAAAAAAAAAATCACAGGCATTTCCTTGCAGCCTATTCAAAACATTTACACGTTTGCCACAAATTCAGCATAAAAAGTTTTAATATTCAGACTTCTGTGAATGTTTCACTTTGTTTCTTCTAAAAGAAAGGGTTGTTAAAAATTCAGGTCATTTACACATCTTCCACTTTGCATCAATGCTCTCCTTCGAAAGGACGAAAGTAAACACTGAAGTAAAGAGTATTCTCAGAAGGAAGGTCTACAGGCATGGAAAGAGGATCGTGAGGTGTCCTGAATGGGAAACGTGCTTTTAATGATGCTGTATGATTACATGCAGGTTTTGCTGTTTTGGCCATGGCCTTATGGAGCCAGCCCCCGGAACCATGGGCAAGGAGCTGGGACATGGGTGCCACACTAAGCGGACACGAAAGAAAACTAAACAGATGAAAGAACGAAAAAAACGCTAGAAAGAAACCATTGTTTATGATTTTTCTGTTGGCTTAGCTAATGAACACCTTATTTTGCTTTAAACCCTTTACTTCAGATATGGGGGGTTCAAAAAGCTGTAAAGGAAAGGAGGAGAGGGGTCGCTGCTTTCCTGACAAGACGAAATGAAAATATCAGTGTCCAATGTTGCGTAATACTTACTACCTTGATGACCTTGTTTTCATGATGTTTGCTCTTACTAAAAATAAGATTTGACCAACTGCTGAGCTATAAGCTGAGATCACCTTCCACAGAGCTTTCCCGGCTGGGTTACGGAGTCAGTGTGGAAATGACAGGAATTAGCCCATCTTCCACCAAACAGGAAAATCTCCCCTTTACTCCCGTGGCCGCCACCTTACCGTTACATGTGCTTCACTGAAGCCCATTCATATTCAACTGCAGTCAAGTCAAGGAGAAAGTCTGCGTGTGTGTGTGTGTGTGTGTATAATATAGGAGTTGGCTCTATACTCTTATGCCAGTGGGAATAACATACTGCGCTACAGGCAGTGTGACCTTTTCTAGCTGGTGTGCTTTCTCTCCTTCCTTCCTTGTCTACCCTTCTCTTTCACACGCTTACTCTCCAGCTCACACACACACCAAGCAGTAGTGTCACAGCTAGCTTTACCAACCATCAATTACCCACACTGCTACCTGGTTTAATAGACATGGGGCTTGTACAAATCATGTGGGGTGGAGGGGTGATGGGACAGTAGTGTATGTTTGTTTTTGCCTCTTCTCCTGCGGCAAGAAGGTAAAGCATGTCTTGTTTTCTCCTGTTTGCTTTCTTTAACATGACCTTTATGGTTGTGTGCTTCCTGAAGCGACAGTTTGTGTTCAAATTGAGGGTTATGGCCTGCCTGGTTAGAGTGCTCTAACAATGCTAAACGACATACATGATGGGAGAGGGAAGGAGCTGTACGTCCTCGTCTGCTTTCTTACACATTTGAACGGTTTGCTGCAAAAAGGTTTACTTGAAACTATTTTCTCTTCAAATCATACTCCAAGAAACCAGAAGCTGTCTAAAAAAAAGCTAAAACAGTTACGTAATCGAAAACTTTTAAATCTAACACTGAACCAAGAGAGAGAAATGAACTAACAATTTAGGTAGCTAAAGAGAAGATTCACAGCCAGCAAGACAACTAAGGTGACACAGTAACGAACAAAGAGGAAGCAAACGAAGAACGACAGTGAGGGGGATGAGGGTGGAGTGGGTGGGGGGAGTTAATGCACAGAACACACTGCATCAAACCAAAGCACTCCAAGCAGGATGCGTCAGCCGTCCATTCATAGTCCTCTTTTCCACGAAAGGATGATGTAAAAAGAGATAGTGGGAAAAAAAAAAAAAAATGAAAAAAAAATCTCAAGAGATAGGGAGCAGAGAAATTAAAGAGAGGGCATCATGAAAGAAGGGAAGCCAGAGAGAAAGAGTGCCCATCTGCTTGCCTTTGCCACTACAGCAATGCTGGAAAGCCTTGCCAGTTTCGTTGGAATGGCCGGATTGCTGCTGGGCACGAAGGGGTTAAAATCTGGTTGCTGTGGGAATGCCATCGTCCATCTCTGCCTTGTGCTTAAACAGCCTTTCTATTCCCTTAAGCCATAAAAAGCCAAAGAAAGCCAGAACAAGAGGGCATGAGCATTAAAAAAAAAAGGGAGAGTAGGGTAGAAGGAGCAAACTGGGTTTTGAAGAGAGAGATCTCTAAAAAGGTCTGAGTGCTTTGAGCTCGCCCAACTACCTCAGGACACTGCAGAAAGCAGTAGGGAGGCAGAGAGAGAGGGATAGAAGGTGTATGAGTGAGAGAGAGCGCGCACAAGTGAGCAAGAGAGACGCGGCGCACGCTCTCTCTTTTGCTGCTACAACGGATCCTTTCCACATCGACGCTGCTGTTAACGTCACGCCTGTAAGCCGCACTTGCCCAGCGCTTGCCTCCTCTGCCTTGCTCCTTTCCCCAGTTGGACGCAGCATTAGCGAGGGGGTGCTGATCACAACTACGGGAGGGGAAAAAAGAACTGGAAAGAAGAACCAACAAGCCAGAGAAAAGGAAGGAGAAACTGTGCACCATCTCTCCTCCGTCAAACCCACCTCGACCTAACCAGCGACAAAACCCCCAACACATCTCAGCACCCCCTTCCATCCCCCACCCCACTCTCCCTCTGAAGAATTTGACGGATTATTGGGAAGTGAACGGGAGGCAGACGGCAGCTGCTGCTGTGCGTGCTCGCGACTGCTGCGGTGTGCTTTGCGGGGATGTTGTGTGTTGGTTTGCAATTGCTGCTGTCGCAACGGCGGCTTCTGAGGCAGGAGCGTGTGGCTAGTAAAGAGGACTAAGAAGCTAATGAAGGCAGTGTGTGCCGCCTAGCCTTTTCAACCCCTGCCAAGTGCTCCCAGAGGAACGGAGGAAAAAAACATTCTGCAAAAATCAAGTGGACACGACGCCGCGACTGAAAAGTGGAGCAAGGAGAAAAGTGAGAGGGTGAAGGGCTGTTAGGACTGATCAACCGACCAACTGATTGACTACTGAAAAGTGAACATTGGAATATAGTGAGTAGAGTGGGAGTTCGTTTTTCTTTTACCCCCACCCTCAGGCTTGCCAACCTCCCCACTCAACTACTGGCAACAAAAAGAAAAGAACATTTGAGAGAACGGTGGGATTTTTATTCAATCTCTTCAAATCCCCCCCCCTTTGCTGCTCTATTACTCGTCTCTTTGGTTTCGGTGCATGAAAATTTGTTCATGCGTGTTTCTGCGGTCACCTGTGATATGGAGACCTGGGTAAGGTGTCTAACAGGGGGATCAACTGTCGGATTCCAAGGACAAGCAAGAGAAGAGGAGCCAACAGCAAGAAGCAAGCAAGGGAGCACTGCTGCTTTGGGAGCCTGACTGGATTCCTTTCTACAGTCGTTTTCTCTTTTCCTTTTTTTTAACCTCCATCAAGGCGGAAAGGGAGGGAAAAAAACACTCACAAAAGGCCTTCAAACCTTTCTCTTTGGATGTATGGATTTACAAAAGGGCTCATCTTGGTTAAGCTCTTTGGCACATATATATTTTGACAGGGCAAGTATAAAAAACTGTTTTCTTTTCTGCTCTTGGATATAAATACATCTGATGCGAAAACCACAGCTCTGTGTGCAAAAAAGGAGGGAAGCTATATATCTCAGTTCAAGGACCTGTAAAAATAACTTGAGGTAGGTGTCTAGTGTTTCAACCCCTTTTGTATTGTTTTGTAAAACCTTTCTTGCCTCTGTTTTGTAATACTATTTTTGGTTGCTTAATTTACCATCATGTCCTTCTCATACACATGTTTCAGAACAGCTAGCCCTCTCCACCTTCACTTGTCCTTGTGCCCCTGAAAGCTTGTGGAGATATAAGCACTTCTTAAGTGAGGATAGGTCAAGTCCTTGTGCCCCATGACAAGCATCTAAACCTGTTCTCCTCCCTCGTCTTATACAGTTCCATTATCCTCTGCTCTGGTATCCCCATCAGTTCCACCAGCCAACCTGCTACTTTGCTCGTCCCCAAACCCACCAAACTGTCCCAAACATACCCATCCTCCCCCCCAGATGATGCTGAATTATGAACGTGCCACATCATGAGTCTCCTGGGGCGGGTATCTGTGCATCGTGCCAGGAAAGCCGCCCTGCTTTGTGTAGTCTTCCTGATGGCGCGAGCATGGAGCAGCGCCTCCCTGGCCTTGGCAGGGGCGGCGGTGTCTCAAGGACCCCAGGGCTGTCCGCCACAGTGTTCCTGCAGTAATCAGCAGGGGAAAGTGGTGTGCACCCGACGGGGCCTAACCCGCGTGCCCCCTGGGATTCCGGCCAACACGCGACACCTCAATCTAATGGAAAACGCCATTGAGGCGGTGCAGGCTGACTCGTTCCGACATCTGCACCACCTTGAGGTGCTCCAGCTGGGGCGAAATGCCATACGGCAGATTGAGGTGGGCGCGTTTAATGGACTGACCAGCCTCAATACACTGGAACTCTTTGACAACCGGTTGACAGTGGTGCCAAGCGGGGCGTTTGAGTACCTGTCCAAACTAAGAGAACTGTGGTTGAGGAACAACCCCATCGAGAGTATTCCCTCCTACGCCTTCAACCGGGTGCCCTCACTCATGCGACTGGACCTGGGAGAATTAAAGAAACTGGAGTACATCTCAGAAGGAGCTTTTGAGGGCCTACAAAACCTGAAGTACCTCAACCTAGGAATGTGCAACATAAGGGGTGATATGCCAAACCTGACTCCCCTAAAGGGCCTGGAAGAACTAGAGATTTCAGAAAATCTGTTCCCAATGATTAAGCCAGGCTCATTCAAAGGTCTACGCTCTCTAAAAAAGCTATGGGTGATGAACTCGCAAATCACAGTCATAGAACGCAATGCTTTTGACGACCTATCTTCATTGGTGGAGCTCAATCTTGCCCATAACAATCTGAGTGCTGTGCCACATGATCTGTTCTCACCACTCAAGTACCTGGTGGAGCTCCACCTTCACCATAACCCTTGGGACTGTGGCTGTGAGGCTGTATGGTTAGCACGTTGGTTGAGAGAGTTCATCCCTACCAACTCAACTTGCTGTGGACGATGTCATTCTCCTGCCACCATGAGAGGACGACAGCTAGTTGAGGTGGACCAAGGTGAGGGTGCAGCGGTACAGTGCTCCGCACCGTTCATAGCTGATGCACCCCGGGACTTGAACATCTCGGCAGGGAGAGTGGCTGAGCTTCGTTGCCGCACAGCACCAATGTCGTCAGTGCGTTGGCTTCTGCCCAATGGGACTATTCTGACACATGCCTCTGGTCACCCGAGAATATCAGTCCTCAATGATGGTACCCTAAATTTCTCAAATGTTCTGGCTACAGACACAGGAACATATACCTGCATGGTAACCAATGCAGCTGGGAACTCCAATGCCTCAGCCTACCTCAATGTGAGTGCAGCTGAGCTTAACACATCCAACTTAAGTTACTTTACTACAGTGACTGTGGAACTTCTGGGTCCAACAACTGAGATGCCAAAACCTAAGACTACCATGACCACTGCTGCTGCTGCAGGTGCTGGGGTTGCTGGAGGAGGAGGAGGAGGAGTAGGCCTGGGGACAACAACTACAACTGCCTCTCCTTCTGTTTTTCAGCCAGTTTTCATCTCAACACCAACTGTGCTGTTGCAAAACACTGACAGTCCAGCAAGTCCAGCAAAGCCATCTGTGTTACCAGGTATCCGAGGTATCCCTGGAAAGCCAGGGAAGTCTGGCCCAAGCCTCGATGAAGTGATGAAGACCACTAAGATCATAATAGGTTGCTTCGTTGCAGTAACACTGTTGGCTGCGGTCATGCTAATTGCCTTCTACAAATTAAGAAAGCGTCATCAACAGAGAAGCACAGTGGCAGATGCTCGTACAATTGAAATTATACAGGTGGATGATGAGGACCTTCCACCACCTGCATCTGCAGCCCAAGAATCATCCCTCACATTGCCGGAAATCCGGGACCATAATAACATACACAAACTGGACTTTATCAGTCACACAACTGACTACAGTTTTCACAAACCCAAGGCTGAATACAAACCCCAACCTGACTTCACCCTACACAAGCCTAAGGCTGAATATACGACATACAAGCCAAACATGGACTTCAGCAGCCACAAATCAATTGCGGACTACAGCACACACAAATCAACACCAGATTTTAGCCTTCACAGACCAAAGCCTGACTGTAGTCCATTTAGACAAGACTACAGCACTCACAAGCCTAAATCTGAATACAGCCAATTCAAACCAGATTACAGTACTCATCCGAGGCAGAGAACAGATTTTAGTCCATTCAAACGAGACTACAGCACTCAACCGAAACCTAAACATGACTACAGTCCATTAAAGACTGACTACAACACACAACATAAGACTAAAGCTGAATACAGCCCGTTCAAGCCCGACTTTGGCACTCACCCAAGACCCAAACCAGATTACAGTCCATTTAAACCTGACTACAACACTCAACCTAAACCTAAAATGGACTACAATTCCCAGAGACCTAAAACAGACATTGCCTACAAAACCAAGGACCATTACACCGTCCATAAGACAACACCCGATTACAGCGCCTTCAAGACTGACTTCAGCCCCCACAAAGTGGATTACAGCGCCTTCAAGTCTGACTTTAGTCCACACACTCAAAGACCTAAACTTGATTACAGTCCTCATAAAATGGACTATAGCCCTAATAAGGCGGACTACAGCACTCTAAAGCCTAAATATAACACCTACAAACCGACTGGTCATGGGGCTAAATGGACAGACAACAATGTTGGGAACTCTTTGCCGCGAACGCTGCCCAGCACCATCACTGCAATGGCTGAGCCCTATATCATAAAAACTCACACCAAGGAGAAGGTACAGGAGACTCAAATTTAAAAAGTCCCCCAGCATTCTAAAGGCTCTCACTGCTTTCCCTACGTCCCTAGCTCCCACAAGCCCCTGTTCCACACCCCCTTCTCCCGCTCTTCATCAAAATCATGCAATAGAATGCACAAAAAAAGGAAAAAAAGAAGGACAGGAACTACTTTTTGTACAGAGTGCAAACTTTAAGAGACTGATGATTTATTGTTGTACATGCTTATAAATAAATACATATATATAAATATATATATATGGACATACTGAAGATACCATGGGTTGGTGATAGAGAAACGTATATTAAAAAGAAATTGAAACTATTTTCTAACTTGTAAATTCTATTTAAAACAATGAGTTGTTTAAGATGCTGTCTTGACTTTGACAAATGAGGGTAGTCTTGTTTTAAAAAGGGGCATTCTGTGTGATTTTTACACCGTGCTACAGAGAATGCAGTGAAAAGAAAAAAAAATATTTATACAGAGAAGACTTTCTTTAACAAAAAAAAACGCAAAAAGGTCAGTGTTGATCTTTACAGGTTTATCTTGTAAAAGCACCAAGAATTTGTACTGTGCCAAATGTTATAAATGCAATAAAAAGGATTTTTGGAAGAAAAACAGAAATTTTTAGAGAGAGATGTTTTTTCCACCTTCTTTTATTCACCTAGCAGATACTGTAACGATCAGCCAAATGCTTTAGACACTGCAGTAAGACGCTGCAGCTATATGTTAACCCTGAGTGTGCTGAGGCTGAATAAATCAGAGTGCAGAAGTGATTGGGGCATTTCTTTAAAAATCTTCCCACACCCCCCTTAAGTATTCCTCTTGTTTTCTTTTATTACACCACCTTGTACTGCTTTGTTGCTCGATCAAAAGCCTGCATTTAACATATGCATTAGGATGGTTAAAAAAAAATTGGATATCCACAGACAAGTATATCAGTTGTTTTACATTTATATTACCGATAGCAAATACCTATTCCATAATTTCTCTACAAAAAGAAGGTGTGTTTACTTGCTCCTTTCCTGTATAACAAACCAACAGAATTCATCATGTATCTAATGAGGGGAAAAGTCATACATTTGAGAGACAGACTACTTGGTTGTTTTTTCCCCATCTTGCCATAAAATAAAGCTCCTCATTTAACTTTTCCTTATATTTCCAGCTGCTCGGCATTCAATAATTAGAATGAGCGATTTTTATGCAGACAAATGCATTCAGGTTTTAACCATTTTCATCTTCAACAAAATTAACCCACTCTTTCATACTACAGATAACTGCAAGGTTTCCATTAAAAAGAAGTTAACTGAGAGCATGCACAGTGGTTGGAATACAACATTTATAGCATCGCATATCCTGCTTGCTTTTGGCATAAAATGGGAAGCACTGCTGCTGCTCTGTTTTCTGTAACTGTCTGTCCTTATTTAATGAAAAATATTGAGGGCAGTGTCTTAAGCTTGGTTTATTTAATCCACCAAATGTGAGAGTAATGATGTGAACTATCTTGGGATCAATATTTTCAAAATGATTAAAATATGTTTGAAGTGATTAAACAACAAAACAGCGAATATGACAAAAAACAAAATATCACAGACTAATTCTCAGAAACCTTGTTGAAACTTACATCTAGAAAGCTAAACAAAATAATCAAAAACAAAACATTATCACATTCCCATACAATGGGCATGCAGGAAGGAAAAGCTTTCATATTACACATTGTGTATATGCTACCACCAGTTTATATGAAAAGCAAAGAACATCAAGGGCTGGTTAAGAAAAAAAACAACCTACCTAAGCGGCAGCAAAAATATTAGCATTTGTCTGTAGGATTTTCTAAATTTGAAGCAGAGGAGATAAGGAGACTTGATGGATGCGGTGCACTTAAAAGTGTGTCGTCATTAGTAGAGATTGCTAAGTCCTTCTGATGCAGTGCAAGCTGACAGGAGAGTCAAGTGTGTTTTTAAGAAGGATGAAAGTGCAACACTTTCATAGAGAAAAAGATTAAGATTACATTACTAAATGGAAACTGAAGAGAAAGTCAGAGGAGGGAAATGAGCATACCGAGCAGGTGATAGGTTTGTTTTGGTTTTTCCCTATCCTCCCAACCATGCAGCCTTTCCACAGTGTGTTGGGCTTAGAGAAATTAAATGTTGTAAAATAAGATTACTGTAACTGCATCCAACTCTGTCTCCTTGTTGCTCTGATGTTGTGCATTACATGTCTGGGAGGGAAATGGGGAGAAGAACTTCAGTTCTGAAAATTGGGGATCGGACAGAATAAAAATTGGCTTCAGAGGCTTTATACTGAAGACTAGGCAGTCTTGGAAGGAGCATGTAGACTTAAATATTGTTAAATTACTGTACGAGTAAAAATATGAATATAGAGCTAAAAGAGTTCTCAAATGTCCCTAACGTGATACATGGAAGGGATGCCCATGCAAGTATAAACAGATTTGCCATTTCCATATGTCTGACGATGACTGTATGAACACATGTATGTAAGCTTTAAGCCTAAAGTGTTATGACATTTTATATTAAGCATGTTGTATGCTTCCTTATGTTTCCTGTGGCTCTGTAAGATGTGAAAAAATCAACTCACTATTCAGAAGTGAGGCACACTGTGCTATGTGGTCACATATTTAAGCTGCACTGTGCTATAAAAGGCTCTCATCCTAATCGGTCAAAATGGCTACAGGGTCATCAATCAGCCAATCAGCTAGCCAGCCACATGAGGGTCAGTCTCCAAGGGAAGCCCTTCTCTTCATCCCTTCCTCCTTCACATCGTGTTTTCTGTGGTTGTGCTTCATTTGCAATCATGAAGCAAATGGAAAGAGGAAGCACGGCAAAATGGATCCATTTAACCACAACTTACAGAGCTGCAGAGGGGGAGGGCGTCTAGATTTGAGTTAGAGGACAAAGATAAGGCCGTATACTAATTGAGATGCAAAAGAGAACATTTTAGAGGGACAAGCATGACAGATTACTAGAAAGTTATTACGGAGTGGGGAATTTGGCCAAAGTCATAAGTGAACGCTAGAGAGGAGGATGAAGGAAACAGCAAAGCTGGACGTAGAGGATGACAATGGATATGCTTCAGAGAAAGAAGCGTATAGATACAGAACAGCGTCAAATGAAAAAGTAATAATAATGAGAATGAGGTCACAAGGGAAATAAGGGTGCAATCCAAAACAAAAGAAGCCGAGGAAAAGTGATTTAATTCACTGACCGAAATGACTAAAACAAGGAAAAGCAGAGCAGAGGGAGTGAAAGGAAGCAAGAGTAAAGGCACTTGGGGAAAGGACTAAGCAGAGCAAATGTGATGCAAGAGTGCCAGCTACAGATGGAATGGGGGATATATAGCTTGGCCGCTGTGGCTCTTACATGATTGGTGAATGGCCTGGACTGCACCACACTCTTTGTGGTGGGGGTGGGGAAGAAGGTTGCACATGTAGCAGAGGGCAGCAGATAAGAAGTGCTGATACATGGGACACACTTGACCATTGGGGGGGTTGGGGGGGGGAGACTCGTACGCTTGTGTACGTGCAAGCCGTCAGTGACAAAAGGTCAAAGCCCGTAAACGAATAGCACAAACTCGTTTAAAATAGGAGTCAATTCTAAATATTCTGAAACATAATTTTGATGCAATCTCTGAATTAGTCATTTTTCAGAGGTTAATGGCTTTGCACTACCAACTACAAGACATCAAATCAGTAAATTGACCTAAATCAGTCAGCAATGCTCCATATCACAGCAGCCATTTATCGACTTAATAAATTCAACGGTTACACAGTTACAATCTTTCATCAAAAACAACTCTACTACTCCAAAAGAAAGCTTTAAAAAAATTGGCCAAATTTGAATCATGTCCTACAAACAGTAGTCACCAATAATTCCTGAACAGCTCTAATCGATCTATTGATAATCATGCGGACAGCCATGGGTAAGAGGGTATTGATTTGCCTTTAAGCCGGGAGTTAGATGGTGTGTTTTTTCATGACTGGCAACAATAAACAATGTTTTAACAATGCCAGGTATAAGTGCCCCTGAGCAATCCTCAAACTTCTCCCCAGGTGCTTCACTAACAGCTGCTCTTGATGTCTGCTCACTTTCTCTACTTTGTGCTCCCTGTGTGCACTTTTTAATTACGGTTGAGGTAAAGGCAAGAATCGAATTCCTTTGTGAAAACCTTCCAGGAAAATAAAGATTTGTAGGTTTATCAAGTGAATGATCGTGGGAGCTTAGTGTTGTTTACAAAAAGGATGAAAGCTAGAACTTGTCACTGTGCTAGTGAAGTAGAGATGTGGCTATTCTTAGCGGGCCTGGATGCACAGCACCTCGTGACTCAAGAACCCACACCAAAACGTTGGTCCTATCGGACTGTATAGCACAACCAGCCAAACGGGTGAGGAGAGCTCAGCAGACAGCCCCAGAAAAAAAAAGCTGATGAATTTGAATGGTTATAGTGAGCAGAAATATACATTTTCAGTGACCAGCTCCTATTGATACAGAGGTCAAAGGAGGCCAAAAACGCATATATATATATATATACATATATAAACACACACACACACACCAGGTACCAAGACACAAAGACTGCATCCAAAGAAGACTGAAATGCAGGTGGGTTGTGTGACCTATTTTTGCCATAAGAAACCACTCAAGTGTGTTGCTCCCTGTGAGACAGACTTTATTGCCCTTTTGGTGGGTGAAAAACATCCCTGTGTTTTCTTAGCAGCCATACACGATCAAGCCTTACTTTTATGATCTCAACCAATTGCAGAAGTCGGAGGATGTGTGTGTGTGTAGTAAATCAGGTCCACGGAGAGCAGCAACAGAGAGCTGAGACATGCAATCGGGCTATGCTGAGGTTTTTGAATGTGCACACCAACACAAATAAAGTCATAACGGCACATGCTCAAAAGAAAAAAAAATTGAAGCCGCTGACCATTAATTTCACTGCTTTTTTTTTTCTTTCTTTTTTTTAAGATTTATGTGCTGGGGGAAATCGTGATCACAGGCACAG